ACTTTTGCCCTGGTGATTGGTACATAATCATCCAGGCTTGCAGTGACAAGTATTTTATAGCCTGGCTAGTGGTGTAGAAATTGAAGGCACAGAATGTATGTATTTATAAAGTATTTGGTGTTACGTTAGAAATGCACGTTCATATATTCAAATTAATTTGTTTTACTAGCCCCTAGACGTTTATGCTGACTAGTCAAAATCTCATACCAAATTTCTTTAAACTTGATATCTACATAATATTTGAAGAACATATGTATGTTTCTCAAGCAAATTTTTTTAATTTTTTTTTTTTTTAAATGAATGGGGTGCTATCGTTGTATTAGAGCGTCAGCTAACCACTCTAAGCAAATCAGAGATGCCCTTGCTCACAGCAATCCAATGCTTCCATTTTGAACGTTTCTAGGAAGCAAAGTGTAACGGAGCTGGCAAGAAGACTTTGAGGTTAAACCATTAGTGAACTGTTTAACCCGTAGAGGTAAGCCAGCACCAGGGACCTACTGGTGTCAACTTAATTTTGATTAAGTTCTTATGGTGTCCTGAGGGAAAACCATGCATCTTGGGGGTGGGGGGGTAAAGATTAAATCCAAGCATCATAACCACCCACCCCTTTGTAGTGGTTATCATGCCAGGAATAGTTTTCCGTAGTAATGGAGCAAACCGGACGCCAAAGTTCCTTGCAGATCTGGTGAAATGCATCCAGCGTCTGCTGAATAGCAAAGCCTGAATTCCAATGTCGTCATTCATTGGCTGTGATCTACAGCTACTGCTCTCAGCCCATGGATACCCCATCTGTGCATAGAAATATCCGCAGAATTGACATTACCCAGTCGGTACGTGCAGTCTTTCATAGCAAAACGCTGCACATACAGGCACCAGGTCCACTTCAAATCACTGAAGTGGTCATGGTGCTTGGAGTATCCTATTGATATGAATCATAGGTGATGTGCAGTCTTTAATTCAGTGGTCCCAACAGTTCCCCTTAAAATCATTGCATGGGGACAGATTAGGGTGAAATGTATCACCTGTTTATTTTATTAAGTTTTCAGATATTCAAATTTTGTAGACATTGTTTTTCTTTCTTTTTGAAACCTTTTGGCACACAACAGCTATAAAGTCACAAGACTACAGTCAATCCATGTCATTGATTTTGATCCTGCGTGATACTCATGTTTTGCCTGTCAGAATGATTTAGACCTGCTTTGTACAATTCCAAATGTATCCCTTCTCTTGAATGGAAAAACTTACTTTAAAAACTACATAGCATAGTTCAGGCCACACAATCGCCAAGTTGTAACTATAGCTATGTTGGCCAATTTTTCCAATGGGGGAAAAAAAATATACTATTAGGAAATGCGAAGTGCACTTTAGTATACTGTAATTTACACAGCCACCACTTGGAAGTGAAATATGATTGTTGTGCCTCATCCTATTTGAACATGCAAGTCCCATTTTCATACCATATGATACAGACACCCATTAGAATGGGCTGGGGAAATGACAGCATCTTGAGTGTCCTAGAGTCACGTATGTCAGTCAGAGAATGGTTTTGAATGCAACCATGGAGAGGATGTAATGATTAAAAACTTGAATGTTTTTTTTCATTATACATCTATTAATGTTTTTGAAACCCGTACTTGGATAAATTTTTGGTTAAAAAAAAGTTTTCATTCTTTTATAGCCGTGTAAGAAAATGAGGAAGGACGATGATCATCCAATAAAAACGATAACAAATTACTTCTCACCCGTGTCGAAAATTCCTGAGAAGGTGCTTTCATCACCGAGGTCGAGCAACATTGCGGACTATTTTAAAAAGTGTTCTCCAACTACTAAAACCTCAAGCCCCAATCAGGACAGCAGTCAGAAGAATGTTACAAATAACCAAACACCACCTACTTCAAAGGAACCTGGGAAGCTTAGGAAACGGGGGAAACGGACTAGTTTAAGTAAGAAACTTAACGATGTAAAGCCAGAAAATGAATCTGACGCAGTGGATGCAACTGAGACCGTTTGCACTGGAACTGGTTTTATGGGGAGTGATACCGCGGCTTTACTGGCTGAAATATGTAGTAAGAAAGATGAATTTGATGAAAAAAGCAAATTAGATATTTCTACAAATACAAAATCTCCAGCTTCTAGTGAAACACGGGTTTCTTCCAAGTCTCGGAAAAGGAAGCCTGATAACTCCGTGAAATCAAGTAACTTTCAGGCAGTACAACCTGATGTTAGTGTGTCGGAAGACTCTTCCGTCCCCATTGGGAATTCTTTGCAAACTGACAACACTTCAATAGATTTGAGTTTTGAAGTTAATACAAGAGATAACTCGCATAACACGAGCAGCACAGTAACTGTTTCATTTGAGGAGTTCTTAAAAAGTCAAGAAGAGGCAACCCAAGATGTCACATCTGATTCCAAACGCATAGAGACTGATTGTCCTGAAAATGATAGCACAGGTAATTCTGCAGCATCTGAAAACCGTGAGTCTGCTCCTAACACTATGACAGTCCATGCTCAGATTCATCTCACACCTCTATTGCACAGTGCTAGTACGAAAAATAAAAAATCCAAGAAGATTGCGGCAATATTCCTGAAAAAAGGAGACTTGGACGCTAAAGATAACCAACATTCCTCTGAACCTGAACAAGCTGATCACGTGTTCCAGAAAAGAAAATCAAATGTGGTTATATTGGAGGAGGATTTAGAATTGGCTGTTCTTGAGGTTGAAAATGGTGAACCTTTAAAGCAGAAGAGTACTGAGGCAGAGAGACAGCAGTTCATGAAAGCCTTCAAGCAACCTGGGGACATGCCAAAATGCACAGGTAAAAAAAGCCTGGGGAAAAAGAAAGATTCAGATGAGGTATTGACACCAGTGGCATCTGGTTGTGAGAAAAGGCATGATTCTGAAACTGATGTGGTTGTGCTAAGCACAGGGAAAAAAGAGGAAAGCCAACAGAAAAAGAAGTCAGGGGAACAAGTCACTAGTTTGAAATTAAAGAAAAGGGTGAAAAAAGTCAAACCAAATACTGATGCAAATACAGAAACAAAAACACAAGTCAGTGAGAGAAAAACCAAAAAGACATCAAGCACCCCCACAGATGAGCAGTCAGTGTCACCAGCTGTTGGCACTGGTTTACGGAGGAGTACCAGGTATCGTAAATCTGACACATCCCCTTTAAAGTCACCTTTGCAAGAAACTTCAAAAGTGGACGCTCCTGTCTTGATGTCGACACCAAAGGTGAAAACACCTTGTCGAAAAGGTGATGTGTACAGAGCTGAAGTTATAACCATACCATCTGACACAGAGTCCCCAATTAGGTAAGCACGATGGTTTGGTTTTGTTGAAGGACAGAATGCTGGAATAATTATCATTGGATTTATTTGTATTTAAAAGTATTTCAAAGCTCTCAACACTGAAATATCAATTAGAATTTCTGTTTCTACAGGTGTGGTGAAATGTTAACCGCATGATAAAATATTCTATATGCGTCATAATCCTAAAATGTGCTCATTATATATTTTGTTTCAAAATATCTAAAAATATTGAATCGACCTGATTCTCCGTAAATGTATAAAAAGGCAAAAGCCAAGTTTGAACTATTGTTCTAAAGAATAAATGTTTTGTTTAATATGCGTTACGTTCTTCTTGTTTAGGATGAGATTTACAAAGCTTACCAGGAGACGTTATAAAGGCCATTCAGCAGAAGATGAGGTGTTTACCCCAAAAAGTAAAAAGGTAACTGATAATGAGGCTTCGTCTAACATTGTTTAATATAGACGTCCATTGATTCACTTTAAGTGCAAGTATGAAGAAAGGATGAAACTGAGGTGCTTTGCTAGTAATAACATTTTACCATCACAAAAAAATAAATTGCTGCCTATTGTATAGATTCTATTCCCATTAAGTGTTCGGCTTTTAAATTGTCAAAATGTAGTTATATGGATACTAAGCACCAAGACAATGTTGGCTTAAAGGGATACTCCAGGCACCCAGACCACTTCTGCCCATTGGAGTGGTCTGGGTGCCAACTCCCACTCCCCTTAACCCTGCAACTGTAATTATTAGATTGTTTTCCTGGCACTGGAGAGTCCCTTTAATGACATAGGGTTTTGGTGTGTAGATGGTGCCTCTGCAGTTTCACTGCCCAACTCTGCCATTTAATCCTCTGGTTACTTTGTTTATACAACCCTAGTCACACCTTCCATGCACATTTCCTGGAAAGACCAATCTAATGTTTAAACTTAATTTTTTGCACAGTCTGTTTAGAGTAAAGTTTAACAGAGCAGGAGATAAACTGTACAGTCACATCTGATTAGAAATTAAACAATATTTTTCCTCATGCAGTCTGAATGAAAATATATATTTATTTATTTTTTTCTTTCATCTCTAGATTGTAAACTCTTTTGATCAGGATCCTCCTCCACCTATTGTTCCAGTAACATTTTGTAATTCTCATTTATTCTCCCTTTTATAATATTGTAAAGTGCTACCGAATAAGTTGGCACTATATAATTACCAATAATCATGTAGATGGAGCATGTGTGGCTAGGGCTTCATGAACAGAAACATAAATTATTCAAGTCCTAAATGGCAGAGAATCCTTTAATCCCCCCTCCATTCCTTATATTACCATTCATTTAAACCCCCCTCCTAAATAAAGATTAAGGAATAACACACAATAGAAAAATGAAGAAATTTTTTTTTCAAAGCTATCCGAAAGGATAAAAATGGGGATTCAGTTAAACAACATGGCAATATCATGTTATCCCGATCCCCATATTTTTGATTATTAAGATTGGTGATATTAAGTAGCCTTTTAAAACTATTAAATGTTTTTTTTTTTTTTTTTAAATTCAATGTCTGTGCTGGTTTTCTATATTTTGTATAGATGTCAGTTGTCCAATCTTGCCCCTACAGCTCATTAGAGTATAATTTCTAGAACCTCATGAATGCCCAAGGCCTATCATATTCACGCAAATATATATGCATGAATATTTCTCTCAATTTTTTCATTCTTTTTTGGAAGCAGAAATTTTCCTGCTGGAGGGTGCAGGAGAAGTATAATTGTGCAGGTTTACAAAACAAGGTTTAGTTAATTAGATTTGTAATCGAACGGTCATGGCGTCTAAACTATTACTAGAGAATAGTATAGTCTACTTGTAATAAGAAAATATTATCTAAAGCATTGGTACAGTTTAAAGAATCTGTTAATATATTAAGTATTTTTTTTTAATTATTATTAATTATTGCTTAGGTTTCTGTCCACGCTAAGAAATTGATTGAAAAAGCAAAGGCAATCCAGAAAAATATAGCCACGGCTGAGACTCCTAGGAGGCGATCATCCAGACACTGGCCTGAAAAGAAATCTGTCTTAGAGGTAGGGGACAAGAATGTGTTGTCCTTACCTTATGTTACGTTATTTATATAGCGCCAACAAATCGCGCAGCACTTTACAGTGTGTGGACGAACAAACATGTTGTAAGCAGACAAGTTGGACACACAGGAACAGAAGGATTACAATGAGCTTACATGCTAGAGGGAGTGGGGTAAAGTGACACAAAAGATAAGGATAGTATTAGACTAATGACAGTTGCAAGAGAGGAATCAGTCGGGAGCTATTAACAGTTTAATTGATACGCTTTTATGAAGAAGTGGGTTTTTAATAAAAATTTTTTGAAGGAGTGGAGACTGGGTGAGCATCTAATGGAGGAGGGAAGAGAGTTCCACAGAAACGGTGCAGCCCTCGAAGTCTTTTGAAGGCTAGCATCAGAGGTGGGAGTACGGACAGAAGGTAGACGTAAGTCTTCAGCAGATCGTAAGGGCCTAGATGGGACATAGTTGTACTAGGGAGGATAGATAGGTGGGAGCAGCATTATGTAGAGATTTAAACACAAGAACCAGAATTTTAAATTGAGCTCTCTATCTTATAGGAAGCCAATAGGGACTGACAGGAAGATGACAGGACCTTAAGTTGTATATTGCTTGAGACATACCTACCACGGCACTGAAATAGGTCTCACCCTTCCATGAATCCTAAATTGCATAATTGCTGTAGTTGCAGTGTTTCCCAAGCCAGTCCTCAAGAACCACCAACAGTCTGTGTTTTGTCGGTATCTCCATTGCAATAAAACAGGGAAATACATAAATCCTGGATTGTTGGGCCATGAGGACTGGTTTGGGAACCACTGCTGTAATGTACAGTCATCACATTGGCCAATTCCATGTCTGCCCGGCTCTTGTCTACTTGTTCCATGTTTCTGTCCCTTCCTATAATTAATTGGGTTGGTAGTCCGTTACTCGCCACAGCTAACTACCCGCTCGCTGACATGCACAAAAGATCATTCATTTATAGGTTTATATTTTATAATTTAATTGCAGGCTCCTGCTAATAATATAGATATTACCAGAGAGAGACCCTCTAAATCGGCAAAGAAAAAAAATCTCAGGAGCTTAAATGATGTGTTGGGAAAGAAGGCTAAAGTTAAGAATTGTGATATTTCTTCTGGTAAGATATATATTATGCATCAACTTTTATCACAATGCATTGTTGCGTTTATATCTGTATGAAAATAATTGTGTGTGTGTATATTGGTCATTTTGTGAAGTAACGTCTTATGTGAAGATTAAGCACTGTAATCCATTTGAAATATGTCTTTGTGAGATTGCAATTTGTTTTTTCTTTCCAGGGAAAAGGAAATCTAGTGTTAAAAATCCTTCCCTCATCACAGTCATAGATGACAGGTAATAAAATAAAGGCAGTCCCAATATTGCATTTTAATAATGATCGTGGCTTCTATTGTGGTTGGTTGATAGCCGCGGCCCGCATGGGCATATGAAAGAAAAAAGGGCACTCTTCTCGACAGAAATGATTGGCTGAAAGTGCTGGGTTGGGGATAGCCCAATGCTCTCAGCCTCATTGCAGTCGTGGCTGGACAGAATTCAGTGATAACGCAGACGTGTAAATTATCAGTGTGGCTGAAGAGTGGCTTTGTCTCAGTGTGATGTGGAGTCCCGGATTTTATAAAACCACTCCTAAACTCTTTGCAAAAACAACTATTCAGGGGACAACGTCCAGAGACTATTGGTGACTTAATGTGTTTCTTTTCTATGAGCTTCTTGACTTATCAAAACCGTAAATGTCAAAGTACCTTAATTAAAGCGTCACCCTAGCCCTATAATAACTACTTATCAATTAATTCACTTATATAAGAAAAATAAACGTTAGGAAGGCTTTAAAGTAAATGTCAGAGGTAAAATATTTTCAGTCTGTGTTTTCACTAGTTTAATGTGTTTAGATAAACTTTTAAAAATGTATATTTTTGTATAACAGATAATGTATATATAATTTTTTATATTAAATCTTTTTATAAGTTTGTACAATAAAAATAATTTGAAATAAAATGTTTAAAATCTGAGTGTGTACCCTTGCGCACTGTCCCACATGCTACCTGTTATGTGGCCTTTCCTAGGCCACTTTGTGTATTTATCATTATGTCCTTTAAAAACAACCATGCTTGTTCTAATGGGCTTTGACTTGTAGTTATGGCAAGTAAATACTGAACTTGTACTTCCTGTTTTAGTTCAGAGGTGTCTGAAAGCTCTGAGGACAATGAACAATTCAAAGCAAAACGTGAGTTTCTTATGAGCGGCTTACCGGATTCCTTGAAGAGGCACATTTCTAAAACGGCAGCATTTATGGAAGCTTACTCCTTGTCAAGTTCCTCCTTCCAGACTGTTGTACACGTGCAGCAGAAAGACAGTAAGTGTTTTGATTTTAAATCTCCGTGGTCTAACCTATTGGAGTTTAAGAGCTAATTGAAGTGAACCTGTCCACTTTAACATTACAGCATTACAGCAACCAAGGCAGAAAATATATAATTTTATTATTGCTCTAACTGCTGCCCCTCTGTCCAGCTCTACCATCCAGTAATGTCCATGGCTGTTACAGTAGTGTAACCCCCACCCCTTCACTTGCTCTCCTCTTCCTGTTGGGATTGGCCCTACCTGAAGACAACCAAAGTAGTACAAATATAGCTGCTGGTTTCACTGCCAGTGCATTGGCGTTGGTGCATTCCACTGAGAGCCTGAGTGGAGGGTTCTCTTGCACTTCCTGTCACTCAGTGGCTCATGGCTGTAGACCTTCTTTCATTAAAGGGACATTATAGTGATAGGAATACAAATCTAAATGCTTATTTGGAAAAAAACAAATTCTACTTCTAGCCTGAAGTTTGCAATTCCATTTTCTATTCACTCCGATTAATTGTTCAGTAAATAAGCTTCCGCAAAGAATAAGTTTACTATGTGGATTTTTACGTTTTCTGTTTGCTGACTTCCATGTTTTCCAATTCACATTAGATTTTGTATCTCCTAGGTTGTCCTATGTGGAATCTTAATATGCCATCCTGCCCGCGGCTAACACTGCTTGAACACATTCGTGTTGATATTCCCAATTTGGCGAAGAATTCTCTCTCTCTTGGCGACTTCACCTCTGCGAGAACTGAGCATTCGGTCCAATTTAATTCAAGCTTGGTTAGTTTGGTTTTCTACTTTTATATGAGCAACTGCAATTTGATGTTTGTGGATCATCAGAGCTTACATAATACCAGTGGTTTCTTTGGATTTGAAAGCACAACTTTCTAAAAGTGTGAACTTTTTTTTTTTTTTAGGTTACAAGTAGAGCAGTACTTTCAGATGTGATCCGCAACTGTCTTTTAGAGGAAATTTGTGCTTCCGGAGCTCTCTTTCCAGTAAAAAGATTTCTGCAGCAGTTTCTTAAAAAGCAAAGTGATCAACTTCAAGAGGCCAGCAAGCAAGGTTTGTTAGAGCATTCCTGCTTATCCTCCAAGGATCACGCTATGCTGTATAACCACTAGCCCCTGGCCCTTATCCCACAGTAAAATGTCAAACCTTCTACAAATCATTTCACACTTACCTGGCTCTATTTGGCACATGTAGTTTAAATGAAACTCAGTCAAATAATAATAAAGATGCCCAAAACTGAGAAAAGGACTCATGGCATGAACACCAGGTAAATGTCAAATAGTTTATAAATAATTTTAAAACTTACCGTGGGATGGAGCCAGGGACTCCTGGCACAATAACCCCTACAGCATGCAGCAAGAGTTATAGTCCTTTTAAATTAGGTGACTTTTTTTGTTTAACTAGCAATGATTTAATATAATCATTCTATAAAAGGATGCACCATTTACATGATATACATGCAAATCTGCTCATATCCCCTTGGGTTCACTCTAAAACATGTTATATTTGGTTTTAATGAGGTATAGAAGTTTTGCTTAGAGGGATAATTAATTTCTATGTGCATCTTGTCTTATTTAGCTTGTATTCGTTACTATAATACTTTTATTTTTCCAGTTGACCAGTTACTAGAGAGAAAATTAGGTGAAGTGATACTAGTAGAGGATTCTGAGAGTCCAGAGAATAACAGGACTAAGCGGAAAAGGAAAGAGTCTATTGGCACAAAGTTTAAAAGGATAAAATCTGCCAATACAGAAGAGTGTTATGACAAGCCTCTGCCCACTCCTGAGGTTCCAAAACAAAGGACATCCAGGGGCTCACTCTCCAGAACTTCTAAGAAGCAGCAGGTGGAGAGTAAGGTTCAATCTCCCATTGAAGAAAAGCCCCCAGCAGTCTCTGGTAATCACAAGCGGCAGTCTAATTTTGTCATTTCTTTAATCTTTCGCTTGCATGTGCAATTTATTACTTTATTGGAAAATAAGTGAGGTGCATTCTGCCAATATTGTTTACTGGAAGGGTGAATGTTGTGGACTGCATTTTGATGGATTACTGGCAGAGGTATTACTGAAGGCCATCTGTTCTGTCTTCTACATTTTGCAGCTACTGGCCAGGGTATTGCTGTGTGAAGCTTGTTGTCACAGGCTTATTTTTTGTGGCTGCACAGAGGGATTACTTTGTGCTCACTCTTGGTCCAGGTGCATTTTGTGTGTCATAGACTACTTGGGATAACGCAGTTAGAGGGCAATGTTTCTGGCAGGATGATTAGTGGCTCTCCCTCAAGGTCTTTACTCAATTCTTTCTATGCAGGGTCTTTACTCAATTCTTTCTATGCTTTAAAGATAAAGAACTGCAGCCAAAACAGGGAAGGTGCTGCTGTATAACTGTTCAAACTTTGAGCACATGTCATTCAGCTCTGATCATTATGGAGTCTGTATCTGGATATGTAAGATGGGTTTAACTACCCTGAAACAGAGGTGCACTTTGTTAATTTATAACAGGACTTTTCTCTTTTCAGCAGATGTGATCACTGAGGATGTTCTCTGGACAGAAAAATACCAACCGCTGAATTCCACTGAATTAGTCGGCAATTCTGCTGCCATAAAACGGCTACACAGGTGAATAATCTGACTTTGGAGCTTCTTTGTGTTTTCTGGACTTATTATGACATTATCTAAATTTACTTTTTGTGTGCTAGTTGGCTGAAGGATTGGAAAATCCGAGCCGAAAAGGAAGAAAAAAGAAGTCGCATAAATAAGACGGAAAAGGATAAAAATGGTATCTTTCGTTTTCAAGCGTTGTGTGGTTAACATATATACAGAAGTTCTACCCAATATGTCAGACAGCTACCTCCTTTCTTTTTTTCCCCTTCTTGACAGTCTGACTGTTTTATAGATACCTGGGGCCAAAGTGACTTCACTGACAACTCTGATAGTGATGATGATGAATCCCTCTGTAACACCATGCTAATTTGTGGGCCTCCCGGAGTGGGCAAAACAGCTGCAGTTTACGCCTGTGCCCAGGAACTGGGATTCAAGGTTTGTGTATGATCTGTACTGTTCAAATGTAAAGCTAGAGCACTTCTCAGCAATTGTCTGCAGCAGGGTGAACCCTCCCTCACGAGTCAGTGGCTCCATTAATGAGGAGTCTCTTATTATGTTCTCATAAACTTCTGTCCAGCATGTGAGGCTGCAGCTCAGTTATCCATCTATTCGTGTGTGCACAGAACAGGGATAAAATCAATATTTAGCGTTCTGGAAGTTCGAAATTTTTCCGCTATGGTGGCCAACTTAAGCTGCAATGATTTTTACAAATCACTGCATTCTCCGAGCTGAGTGGATAACGTGCTATTCTGTGCAACATAAACTCTGTAATAGTGCTAAGCTGCTCTAGCTTTCAACGTAATCCTTTAAAGACCAGCCTCCACTGCTTTTGGTGTTGTGTTGTGATGGCATGTATTGTTTTTGTCTAGGTATTTGAAGTGAACGCCTCTTGTCAGCGCAGCGGAAGACAGATTTTAACTCAGCTTAAAGAAGCCACACAGTCTCATCAAGTAGATCAGCAGGGCGTTAATGCTCACAAGCCTTGCTTCTTTAACAGTCACGGTACCACGAAGTCTCCAAGTAAGTTATTTAATTGAAGGCACTACCTAGTGTATCCAGCAGGGGAAGTAAAGCATCACGTTGACATATTACTGGTTACATATAAAACAAGACATTTAGTCTGTAATCTGAGTGAAGATTAGACTTTATTTACCAAATCCTGTTCCTTTTTGAGATACTGAGATAAGATATAGTCTGGTGACTTTGTGCTCTGTAGAATGTGTGCAGTATAAATAATTTGACTATTAATAGAGATACAGGTCAGAGAAGATAGTTAATTCTATAGTATCTATACTGGACATATTGACATTGTCTGGAACACTGTTTCTGACCTTTCCTGTGGAAATAGTGCTTGTAATTGACAGATTTACCGTGCTGTTTTTAGGAAAATTTAACTCTCCAAAGCATGTGATCTCATCGCCAAGGAAACCTCCTGGGTCTCCTAGAGGAGCTGGATTCAGGAAAGGGTTGGCTCCTAAATCTTTGGCAAACTACTTCAAGGTTCCTGTGAAGCAAAAAAGTGACAATTCTAAAACCCAGGAAGTTTCCAGTAAATCAGGTGTGTATAATTGAATATTTCTGAGACAGTTTTGTGTTCTGCGTATAGCAATTTCAGAAAGAGGAAATCATTAATACTAGTCTGCAGAGTTCGTCACCTACCCCCCTTTTTTTTTTTTTCATTTAACATAGTATCACTTTTTCTCTCTCTATTCAAGAAACAATAGTTGTGGAGGAGAGTGCAAACAAAACTAATAAGAATCAGGTACCAGCTACAGAGAAAGGAAATGGATCTGATGAATCTCAGCGAAAAACTGCCACCTCCCTTATTCTCTTCGAAGAGGTAAGTTTTTGTTCTGAGGTTAAAGAGCGAATATTGTATTTGGACAGTTTCCAACATTAAGGAGAAAATCAGTTTACAACGAAACACAGCCATTATATAAGGTGCAACAGTGCATGTGGCAGGCATCATCAGCCTGCTGAAATGGGAGGGATAATATCATGAGATAAGGAAACAGGTCGAAGGAGATTAATCTAATATGTTTCTATTTTTCCTGTTATAAAAGTATTGTTATAGGCCCAGAATTACTAAAGGCACATACATAGTTACATAGGCTGAAAAGAGACATGCTCCGCCTTTCTCACATCTGTTTTTGCTGTTGATCACACTGTAATTACTATAACAATTGTATCTAAATTGGTTTTAATGCTTGGAGTCTTCTGGTGCTATCCTTATATTTACAGTTAATACATTTTTGTGCAGTTTAACATTAGTTACCTGGCTAACACAGCGGTTACTGGGTGTATGGTAAAGGCAGAGATTATACACTTCTAGCCACACCAATTTATATCGGCAATGGGTGCTGTAATAGGCTGAAAGCAGTCAGCTGTTACTCTCAGCCAATCACAGCTGCCTAATGCTTCCTCATTAACCGAAGCAGCACAAAGAGGATGAGCTGCTGGTGACTCTCGTTTAGCGTTAAAACATTAAAAACTATTTCATGCTCCATGGAAGAATGGCTCAAGGAAACTCCAGACACTATAACCACTTTAAAGAGATGATGCAGTTACAATGTCTACAGTATCTCTTTAAGTAACTTAAATCTCCGTCCCACTTGTCATCTTGTATATTTTCTTTTTAATATCATTGAAGGGAGGCTGCTACACCATTACCATCAGAATATTGTACTGCTTTTTAGTGGTCATGGTGTCTAGTAAGCTGTCTCTGAAAACTTGCATTTAAAATGATCACTGTTTACCTGAATTTCCATGTCATCTCAGCACTCCACTTTCTGACGTTGGATGGGACGTTTAGTGTCCCCTCTGTATTTTCTTCATGCGCATTGGCAGCTTGTTCAGAGTCAGTCTGTTTCACTTTCAGTAGCTGCTCTGTGAGTGCACATACTGTATAGATCCCTTCCTGGCTCAGTTCAGAGAGTTGTGAGCCAAGCATACTCTATGCAAGAATTGTGAGTTGTGAGCAAGAATTCTATTGAACAGAAACTACAACTGAACTGACCTAAACCTTGTGACATTGCTCATTAAGTGTTCTTGCATAGCAAGACCACTTAATGTTCTCACATATATATTATTATGATAGCCAAATTTACCACCCTAACTCCTCCCACAGGTTTTACACTACATAGACAGAAATATACTGAAATGTGCGGATTGTTCCCGAATGGATTGCTATTACTTTGTGGAACGTTTCGCCAAATGGTTCACTGAATATCGTCGTCCTTGTGGCGAAATTGGTCCCAAAGGAATGAATGGCAAAATGTTCAAAACTAGAGTGGGAGCTGGCAAAAGCTGAAAAATCAGGACATGATTTCTAAACTGCCACCACTCCCTCATTTTCAAGCCCATCTACACAAATCTTATATCAAAACATTTAGCTATCCCTGCTGCCACTAAACATGTCCACGGCTAAGCCATAGTCCTTATAGTTTTCACAATATGACCATTTGTTTGCAACTCACGCCATCCATTGACATTCATTGAAACTCCACTCTAGCCAGCCTAAATTTGAAGGGCAATTTCTAAACTGCGACTGTGCCTTCATTTATAATATTTCAGAGACATACTATGCAAAACGTAGGTCTGGGTCTTGTGATTCTCACAATATAAAGCTCTTCGCTGTTCGCTGTAGGATGTATAGTTTTTAAAATACGACCGTTTGAAGATGGCAACCGCCAAAATACTCTGACCTTTTTGCAGGCTGGAGCAGCAAGTGATGTCATAGACAGGGCCTTTTGTACACCTGCTGATTTTTTTTTTTTAGAAATGTATGTTTTAATGTAACTGTGACGCACTTTGGGCAACAACGTTGCAATTAAATGTGCTATATAAATAAATAAGTTATTCTGCCCACCCCAGTTGTAGACTACTGGTGGAGGCAAGAACACTTCACACAATTTCCCCAGAAATTGTAGCTTTTCTAGTGATTTTATTATTTATATAGTGCCAGCAAATTCTGTAGTGCTGTACAATGGCATAAAAGTACTTGAACTGCTGAATACAGTGTTTGGAGTGTCACTTTAAATACATATACTTTAACTTTCTCTCCTTTCGGTTCATAAATTGATGTTTTCGCAGGTCGATGTTATATTTGATGACGATTCAGGATTTTTAAGTGCGATCAAGACATTCATGGCCACAACAAAACGACCTGTAATTCTCACTACAAGCGGTAGGTATTGAGACAAATTAGAGATTTCGGAAATCGACAACATGTGCTTCAAGTCATGTGAAAGTATTCCTTGTCCGCCTTTTTAAAAACCTTTTAGTTTTACAATAAACAGCCCATTGTGAGGCAGTGTGGCACATTTTGTTTAATGTTTAACATTTGATGTGGGGTTAAATCTCCTTGACACACTAGTTAGAACACTGTTTTCTTTTTAATGCCTTTACCATCCAATCTCCATCATTAATGCACTATTGAGAAAAAAAAACATAATGTCCACTTTAGTTTTTAAACTTTTGTTTCTCCATTAATGGATGATGTCCAGTTGAACAAAATGTGTACACTGGTGAGTGACCAGAATGTGAAAAGCAGTGGGTTAAAGCTAAACTTAAGTATCATGGAAGTTGTAGTTTTGAATCCTGGACAGACCACCTTGGCAGTAAGGGTGCCTTTGTAAAACACCTAACGATATAGATCTGCCAACTTCAAATTCTCATACATTGTAAGCTTGTTTAAGCAGGGAAATGTTCACATCTATCTCCTTTCCGTAATTGTAAAGTGCTGCATAATATGTTTGCACTATATAAATAAAAATCATTTTATAATAGCTGGTGGGTGGGGTCTACCTTTTGACTACTGCTGGTATAACTTGACCTGTAGCATTGTACAGAGAGATATACAAGATGTAAGAGGTGATTTAAATTGTACGTTAAAACTGATTTACATTTGTACATTCTTTTAATTCTTGCATTTTATCCATCTAGATCATACATTTGATTTGATGTTTGATGGAATTTTTGAAAAAATTGTATTCCATACACCATCGATTGTAAGTATCTCTTTATTTAAATTCTTTATTTTGGTAGTGCATACATGAACAATACGCTTGCATAGCCACGACAGCTATAGCAAGCTGCAATCAATAGAATAGTATAACAATAGCATGGCATGTGAGTATCGGCACAATTTTTTTAAAAAGGTTATATAAAAGATTCAACATAATGCAGCCACTGAAAATAAGATAGAAAAAGAGCAATTTCAATCCTGGTCGTATGGTTAGTGTCGGCGTATATGCTTATGGACTGGAGTATGCCTACAGTGGAAGGCAAGGTGCATGCTTATGTGCCTCTTGAGTCAAAAGTGAAATGGGACCCTGTGTTCTGAGGGAGTATATTAATACGCCCGTGTTGTGGATCAGTTAGAAATTCCAGTTATAGGCCGTGTGTAAGGTCGTAAGGCCTTGTGGACAGAGAGGGCTGTGCACGGCCTAGATTGTCGTGTGAGTGAGAGGATAAAAGAGGATACTGACGTGCAACCTGGTAGTGTATTTGTGCAGCTCCTAATTAGTGATCTCGTGGTAGAGTAAATGCGTTGGAGCTGGGGGGGTTTTGGTATTAAAGGGAGCCAATTAGTCCGGGTTCTGCCCGGTTCGGCGGCAAATAAAAGCCGTATAGCAATCCTGCTATGTGTGTGTAGGGGTTTCTGGGTTACCCCTCAATAGGGCCTATGCCCTGGGAGTAAACTTGTACGTTTACAGCGGTGTGTATAAGAGGGAGAACATTAACCCCTTAAGGACTGGACTGTTTTTGCGATGTTGTACATTTGCGACCAGGAATATTTTTACACTTTTGTGGTGTTTGTGTTTGGCTGTAATTTTCCGCTTTCTCATTTACTGTTCCCATACAAATTATATATTGTTTTTTTCAGGACAAAATGGGCTTTCTTTACATACCATTATTTATATAATCTCATGTATTTTAATTTAAAAAAAATACAAAAATCTGATGAAAAATTGAAAAAAATACATGTTTTTTGACTTTTACTTGAAAAATCTTTTACTCATCTACAAAAGCGAATGAAAAAAACTGCTAAATAGATTCAAAATTTTGTCCTGAGTTTAAAATACCTAGTGTTTACGTGCTTTTTTGCTTTTTTTTGCATGTTATAGGGCTATAGGTACAAGTAGGATATTGCGGTTTCAAAACATACATTTTTAAAATTTATCAATAGTGACATTGTAACACTATTATCTGTCATAAATCTCTGAATAACACCCCACATGTACATATTTTTTTTAAAGTAGACAACCCAGGGTATTCAATATGGGGTATGTCCAGTCTTTTTTAGTAGCCACTTAGTCGAAAACACTGGCCAAAGTAAGCATTCATATTTGTTTGTGTGTGAAAAAAGTAAAAAAACTAAATTGAACGCTAATTTTGGCCAGTGTTTGTGACCAAGTGGTTACTAAAAAAGACTGGACATACCCCATTTGCAATACCTTGGGTTGTCTTCTTTTGCAAATGGTATGCCATCATGGGGGTAATTCTCATTCCTGGGCTACCATACGCTCTCAAAGGCAACGTAACCAACCTGGCCATTTTCAATGTAAAAATATTTGACCCATATATTTGACCTTGTAACTTTCAAAAATGCTATAAAACCTGTACATGGGGGGTACTGTTTTACTCGGGAGACATCGCTGAACACAAATATTAGTGTTTAAAACTGGAAAACGTATCGCAACAATTATATCATCAGTAAAAGTGCTGTTTGTGTGTGAAAAATGCAAAAAAAGTAACTTTCACTGACAATATCATCACTGTGATATGTTTTACTGTTTGAATCACTAATATTTGTGTTCAGTGAAGTCTCCCGAGTAAAACAGTACCCCCCATGTACAGGTTTTAGGGTGTCGTAGAACGTTACAGGGTAAAATACAGTGCTAACAAATTAATTCTCTGGAATTTCGGCCTGGGTTGGCAGGCAGGTCCCTCAAATTGCAATCAATAAAATTACTGAATTATGTAAAAATATTACATAAATACGCTCGTAGAATTTAAATATATATGCATATTTATATATTTGAAGTCTACGTGTATATTTATATAATTATTTATGTAATTTTGTATATGGACATATGTATATTTCTTATTATTTTTATTTATTTTTATATACATAGATATATATACAAATTCATTCTAAGTGTATTTTGATATAAATATATATATATTAATTTTAAAATACAGTTAGAATAAAATTTCATATAGCTATATAATTTTTTTTAAATTTTTATTATTTAAAAAAAATTATTTTATTTAAATTACTTATTATTTATATTTTTTAATAATATATATAAAATATATATAGTTATTATATATATTATATATATACGTGTGTAATTTAATTATAAGTGTATTTTTATATTAATATAAGTACATATTAATATAAAAATACACTTAGTATGGCATTATATATATATGATATATATAGACATATATTATATAGATATAATATATGTCTATATATCATATTTATACATATATAATTATTATTATTTTTTTTATTACCATTAACTTTAATTTTTTTATTGATTTTACTCTAGCAGGGAGACTGCCTGTCAGCACAGACAGTCCCCCTGCAGGCAGCACTATGGACACCTATTGTGACCATGTGATCGCTGTGTTAAGCGATCACATGGCCACAGGGGTCCTAATCTGCCGTGGGGAGACTGTCTGGGCTGTAGGCAGTCTCCCCACAACCGGAGGAACACTGATCGCCGCCGGGGGAACGACGGCGATCAGGTAAGTACCCCCAGACCGTTTGGACGGTTCAGGACCGTCATCGGTCGGCAAGGCAAAAATGCCGATGACGGTCCTGAACCGTCCTCGGTCCTTAAGGGGTTAAAACTAAACAGAAAGCAAAACAAGAGTAACTCAAAAGTCCCGGTTCAGGTAGTCTGCTCTCCGAGCGTTCTCCTGGATGCTGGAACAAATGGGACAACTTTAGTCGGATCCCAGGTTGTAGCGGTTGAAGATGGCCGTAGTCCCATGTCGGTCAAGACAGTGTCCATTTCTGCGACGTCCGTCGCTTTATATTCCTTGCCTTGGTGTTGGATGAGGAGTATGTGTGATGGTCCCCAGCGATACTTCACTCCCTTAGCCGTCAATGCCGCTGTAAGTGGTCGGAGAGATTTCCGCCATTGCAGTGTTGTGCATGAGAGGTCGGAATAGAACGTTAAGTCCATGTCCTCAAAGCGGTATGGATTTTGTCCCCTGATGGAGCCCATTAAGGCAGTTTTGTCTTGCCCATTTTGAAATTTGACCAGAAGGTCACTTGTCGCTGAATTTGCAAGTTGTGTCGGCTTGGGTAAGCGGAACATGCCATCTAGCTGCACCCCTTTAGCTTGTTTGGGGGACAGGAGGGCTGTGAAAAGCCTTCTGAGTAGGTGGGGAAGTTCGGCTGGGGCAATTGCGTCTGAGAGGCCTCTGATTTTAACATGCTTCCACCTCCTTTTGTCTTCCATTGCTGCTAGTTGGTGGGTGAGTGTGATGTGGGCTGAGGAGAGGTCTTTGACCTGATTCTGCAGCTCTGTTATTTGTGCTGTTTTGTGCCTGGGTGGATTGCTCCACTGCTGAGGCGATCAGTGAACCCCTTTACATCCTCCCTTACCTGGGAGATCTCTGCAGAGAGCGACTGGCGTAGGTCAGTCAGGAGAGAGGTAAGAATCTCCGTAGTGATTGGGGTGTTGTTTGAGTTTAGGAGGTCCCTTGTACCCCAGTGTCTCAGGGCAGTGGAGGGATGTGTCGTCCGAGCTTTCTGAGAAATCCTCATATTCGGCCGCCATGTTGGGCGCCGCCGCGCCATGCGGCCTCCTCAGTAAATCGCCGATATCGGCCGTAAATCGCGGGCGATCGGGCCGCGGCTTTTTGGTCTTTCTCCCCATATCAGGGGGAGTAGTTGCAGGCCGTCTGTTACCAGAAGGGAGAGCTTTTGGGGTCTTTTTCGTCCGGTTTTGGGCTGCGGTCGGCAGAGAGCAGGAGAAGTGCGACCGTTCATGCCGAGAGCTGGCTCCGCCCCGTAAGTATCTCTTTAAAAGATTGCAAAGTGAAGTTGTTATTGTTGTTGATCTGATTATGACTGTTTATTGCAGGCCAATGTTGCCAGCTATCTCAGAGTACTCTGCTTGGCTGAAAATCTCCGGACAGACTCTAAAGACTTTGCTACGTTTTTAGCTGCCAATAGATGTGACATTCGACAGAGTGTTCTTCACTTACAGTATTGGGCTACAAGTGGAGGAGGCGGCTTGCAAGAAAAGCCACTTGCATTAAGTTGTAAGTAAACATAAAAATTTCTGGATTTTGCTATAAAAATAAGACTTACAAGTTCACATTCCTGAGACCATGCACTGCTTCATAAGCTAAAACATACAGAGTAAAGCCCACTACTGTTTCAGTGTGTTTCACAGCAGTGTTTCATTTTTCATCTTCCTGTATGAATATTGGTGACTGACTTGAAGAAACCTGACAATTGCTAGACCATGTCACACCTGTTTGCTAAAGCCGTTTTTTTTAGTCTCTTACACTTCGTGCATTTTGAAACCAGTATCAGTGATTTTAAAGGGATACTCTTAGTACCGAAGTAAGTTTAGCATAATAAAGCAGTTTTGGTGTGTAGGTCATTCCCTTGTAGTCTCACAGCTCAATTCTCTGCCATTTAATACTCAAAAGCTTTATTGAAGACTTATGTCAGCATATTTTCATAGTGTACGTAAGACTCGCAGGTCTGGATATTGGATTATAACGATATGGCCGCACAGGGCCCATCAGCTCAATATGTTTGAACATGCATACAATCCCAGTTAACTAAGCTTTAACAGTATTACATGAAACTTTACGTGTTATATGGGGTGAAGGTGTGTACTACCTGTGTTTTTCTTTGGCAAATATAGCTGAGATAGGGTAGTTTGACATTTCTTGTGCCGTGGTTCCATGCCCCTAGTGTTGTCCCATGTTTTCTAGGTATTTCAATGCTTGTGTTTAGTGTGTTAGTTCATTAGTTTGTGGTGCCATGATTTTTTTAGGTGTCATGGTTTTTCAGGGCAAAGCGTGTAGTCTTCATTCATTTGAACGTATGTTATTCAGTCAGTTCTCTGCCATTTAGAAGTTAAATCACTTTTGTTTCTGTCCATGCAGCCCTAGCCACACCTCACACGTTTGTGCATGAAACAAATTTTCATTTTCAATCTGCATAGTGTGTTCACTTTAGAAGTTGTTGTTTTTTAGATTTTATTTATACATTGACATATTTTTTTGATGAGTAGCATTAGGATATACAATTGGCAAAATGCGGCCCAAGGAAGCCAAAAGCTTGGACACCCATGGTTTAGAACAGTGCTCCTCAACCCTCTCCTCACGGCACAACTAACAGTCCAGGGATTACCCAGATGTGTCTAAGGTGTTTAACCCCTTCAGGACGGAGTCATTAGTGCACGTTCTGATCAAAACAAAACGTAAACAAAAACTGGAATTTGCGCTATATGTCTGTTCAACCGTAATTCACCGCTGTCACGTTAAGTGCACCCACACTTATTATATATCATTTTGTTCAGGAGAAACAGGGCTTTAATTTATCATTAACTATTCATATATGGAACATAATTTATTATGAATAAAATAAAAAAAAAATGTGAGAAAATAAGATTTAAATTTTTTTTAAATTTGTATTTCCGTCTGACATTTTAGCTGTGAATGTCATAATACTGTTACGTTTTAAAAAAAAAAAAATGGACATATTTTTAATCGGCGATCTCACGAGTTTAATAGTACCCCCCATTAACAGGTTTTATGGTGTTTTGGAAAGTTACAGGGTCAAATATAGAACGTTACATTTTCAATTTGAAATTTGCCAGATTAGTACTTTTGAGACGGTGTGGTAGCCGAGGAATGAGAATTACCCCCATAATGGCATACCATTTGAAAAAGTAGACAACCCAAGGTATTGAAAGTGGGGTATGTTTAGTCCTTTTTAGTAGCCACTTAGTCACAAATACTGGCCAAAGTTAGCGTTCATATTTGTTTTTGTGTGGGAAAAAAAGCAAAAAACTAATATTTGGCCAGTGTTTGTGACTAAGTGGCTACTAAGAAAGACTGGACATACCCCACTTGCAATACATTGGGTTGTCTACTTTTGCAAATGGTATGCCATCATGGGGGTAATTCTCATTCCTGGGCTACCAATCTGGCAAGTGTCAATGTCAAAAAAATGAAATGCAAGCCTTATATGTGACTCTCTAACTTTCCAAAACACCATAAAACCTATACATGGGGGTTACTGTTATTCTCGGGAGACTTCACTAAACACAAATATTAGTGTTTTAAAACAGTAAAACCTATGACAACAATAATATAGTCCATAAAAGTGCAGTTCGTTTGTAAAAAATGCAAAAAAGTCACTTAAAATATCATCGTAATACAATTTACCAGTTTGAAACACGAATATTTGAGTTCAGCGAAGTCTCCCAAGTAACAGTCCCCCTATGTACAGGTTTTTTTGGTGTCTTGGAGAGTTACAGGGTCAAATATAGTGCTTGCGAATTAAATTCTCTGCCCGTTCTCCCTGTGTTGTCAGGCATGTCAATCAAATTTTAATTAATCAAATCACATAATTATGTTAAAAGATTACTCAAATATACATGTAGAATTTTAATCTATATGCATTTATAGGTATTTAAATTCTACGTGTATACTAATGTAATCTTTTATGTAATTATATGTATTTATCTATATATATTTGCGGTTATTTGTATTTTATATATAGATAGATATATAGAATGTCATTCTAAGTGTATTTTGTTACCAATATATATATATATATTTTAACAAAATACAGTTAGAATGAAATTACATATGAATATATAATTTATATTTTTATTTTATTGTAATTATACGTGTCTGTGTGTATATATGTATATGTAATGTTGTTCTAAGTGTATTTTAATACCAATATATACTTATATTAATATTAAAATACACTACGTATGACATTACATATATGTATATATTTTATATATATATATGTGTGTGTGTGTGTGTGTGTGTGTATATATATATATATATATATATATGTATATGTGTATATATATGTGTGTATATGTGTATATATATGTGTGTATATGTATATATATATATATGTGTGTATATGTGTATATATATGTGTGTATATGTATATATATATGTGTGTATATGTATATATATATATATATATATATATATATATATATAAAATATACACACACACACACTTCTATTTTATTCTAAAACATGTTTGGTTTTTTTTTTTTTTTGGTGTTTTTTTTTACTTTCTCACCAGCAGGGGGACTGTCGGATATTTCAGACAGTCCCCCTGCTGGCAGATCACATGGCCCCGGGGGGCCTGATTTGGCATGGGAGGGCTGCCTGGGCCGGGAAGGTAAGTATTTCTGAGGCTCCAGGGCTCAAAGCCGTAGCGGCGTTAACGGGTTAAAAAAACAATTATGCGCTATGCTGTTTTTTTTAAACACACCCGGGGGTAATCCCTAAATCCTGGACTGTTGTGTGCCTTGTGAAAAGGATTGATGAGCACTGCTTTAGAATAAGGCTATGTTGGCTGGTCTGATGTTAAATATACTACACCTATCAGGTTAGTGTCATAATGGACTGCACTTTTTTTTTTTCTTTTTTCTTTAATTTGGAGATAATTAACAGCCATATATGACCATGCATTTAGAGTAAGCCTTTATTGACTGAACTTTAGCTGCCTAAACTGAAGATTACCCTCTCAGTAAAGTAATACTTCCGGATATTATTTTTACACCTTTGTCCCTCTAATTTAAGACTGTCCTCTTGTTTTGGTAGTTTTTCTTCTTTTAAATATGGTCTCTTCCTTTACTGTGTTGTTTCTCTTTATGTATTTAAATGTTTCTATCATATCCCCCCTGTCTCGTCTTTCCTCCAAGCTATACATGTTAAGATCCTTTAACCTTTCCTGGTAAGTTTTATCCCGCAATCCATGAACCAGTTTAGTAGCCCTTCTCTAAAAGTATCAATATCCATCTGGAGATACGGTCTCCAGTACTGCGTACAATACCAAGTGAGGTCTCACCAATGTTCCGTACAATGGCATGAGCACTTCCCTCTTTCTACTGCTAATAAATCCCTATACAAGCATTCTGCTAGCATTTCCGGCTGCTCTATTACATTGTCTGCCTACCTTTAAGTCATCAGAAATAATCCCCCTTAAATCCCTTTCCTCATATGTTGAGGTTAGGACTCTATCAAATATTCTGTACTCTGCCCTTGGGTTTTTACGTCCAAGATGCATTATCTTGCACTTATCCACATTAAATGTCAGTTGCCACAACTCTGACCATTTTTCTAGTTTACCTAAATAATTTGCCATTTGGCTGATCCCTCCTGGAACATCATCCCTGTTACATATCTTAGTATCATAAGCAAAAAGACATACCTTACCATCAGGACCTTCTGCAATATCACTAATAAAAATATTAAAGAGAATGGGTCCAAGTACAGATCCCTGAGGTGAAATAGTGAAAAGGTGTTAATAATAATCTGTTACCTGGAGAAAGTATAACTAGAAAAGCTACAATTTCTGGGTAAATTGTGTGAAGTGTTCTTGCCTCCACCAGTAGTCTACAACTGGAGTGGGCGGAATAACTTTTATTTATTCATATAGCACATTTAATTGCAACTTTGTTGCCCAAAGTGCTTCACAGTTACATTAAACCATACATTTATAAAAACATCCGCAGGTGTACAAAAGGCCCTGTCTATGACATCACTTGCTGCTCCAGCCTGCAAAAAGGTCAGAGTATTTTGGCGGTTGCCATCTTCAAACGGTCGTATTTTAAAAACTATACATCCTACAGCGAAGAGCTTTATATTGTGAGAATCACAAGACCCAGACCTACGTTTTGCATAGTATGTCTCTGAAATATTATAAATGAAGGCACAATCGCAGTTTAGAAATTGCCCTTCAAATTTAGGCTGGCTAGAGTGGAGTTTCAATGAATGTCAATGGACGGCGTGAGTTGCAAACAAATGGTCATATTGTGAAAACTATAAGGACTATGGCTTAGCCGTGGACATGTTTAGTGGCAGCAGGGATAGCTAAACGTTTTGATATAAGATTTGTGTAGATGGGCTTGAAAATGAGGGAGTGGTGGCAGTTTAGAAATCATGTCCTGATTTTTCAGCTTTTGCCAGCTCCCACTCTAGTTTTGAACATTTTGCCATTCATTCCTATGGGACCAATTTCGCCACAAGAACGATATTCTGTGAACCATTCGGTGAAACGTTCCACAAAGTAATAGCAATCCAGTCGGGAACAATCCGCACGTTTCGGTATATTACTGTCTATGTAGTGTAAAAACTGTGGGAGGAGTTAGGGTGGTAAATTTAGCTATCAGAATAATAATAAATGTGAGAACATTAAGTGGTCTTGCTATGCAAGAACACTTAATATTAAGTTGATATCCAGATGTAGATACTTCATATTATGGTAACAGTAGTCAAATCTTAAAAAGGGAAAAACTTCTAGCGTAGTATTTATTGTAACATAGTATGTGCAAACATTAAAATATATCCGTCACAATATAAAATGGCACAAAAAGTATATTGCAGCATTGCCCCTCATGGGGGCTACTTATCTGAGTGAGTATCCATTACTTTGAACCCTCATACAAGCCCGTACAAAGGAGGGCTTTCCCCCATTCTCCATTCTGGATTTGGAACTGGCAAGGCCATATTTTGGTGTCTTAGGACCCTTAAGACTCCACAGGACTTACTACACATCCAAGAGGACATTCCTTTGGAGATAAGTGCCCCCCACGAGAGGCAAGGCTCTTTTGCACAAAATATTCTTTTTGTGCCATTTTATAGAGTTTTTTTGTTTGCACATACTATGTTACAATAAATACTACACTATAAGTTTCCCCCCCTTTTTTATTTGACGGTTACCATAATATGGAGTATCTACACTTGGATATCAACTTATTCTTGCTCCAGGTAACAGATTTATTATTAACACATTTTCACTATTAAGTGGTGTGATTGCATTATTCTGTATTTTTTTATTTATTTTTTTCCGCCCAAGACATAGGTTACACATTGTATACCACTTTTTTGTAAAAAAAAAAAAAAAATACATAGCTTTGGAAGATTAAAAAGAAAAAAAAAATGAAAAAAAAAAAGATTAAAAGCAAACTTCAGCATGTTTGCATAGCTTTGGTGATAGCAAGCTATGGGTACAGTCCCCCAGTTCTGTGCCAATTCTTTTCAACAGTTTGACACAAAATAAGGGTCTGCCAAGAACTTATGGCCCAGCCTCTTGCTCTGTTTTGCTAATGTGGAAGTTACACTTCAGCATCAGCAATGTCCATATTTGGACAACATTAATTGGTTTAGCAAGTGGACAATCTCAACCTACCACAGTTCAGTTATTGACAAAATTGAGATTACTAATTCGTAAGTGTAACTTCATTAGCCAGTCAACAACTGGGGGAAACTCTGCTTGTTCCAAACGGTTTGTCCAAATGCTTGGTATGGCACAACAAGCCTTTACTTATCTAAGTAAAAAGTCTTTGTCAACACCTCTTTAAGTAGGTAAATGTGAACTGAGACTTTTTTAAACAATTTTTAAAATGTATTTATTTTTGGCAGGTAAACAAGATGGGAATGCTTCCGGGAAGGATGGAAAAGATGTTAATCCTGATGATATCCCAAAATGTAATTCTGGCTGTGCAGAGAATGCAATAGGTCTTAATAACATTGTTTCTCCTGCTGAAGGTTTGATATGTTTTGTAAAGGTGAGTCCTAAAAGCTGTAACTCATAAAGGGCTTTTGGGCTCAAAACAGATGTCTTATGAATGTTATTCCATGAATCATAAAGTTGCATTATGTTGGCGGTTGAGGCTTATGACTCTGCACTGGTGCTATATCTTTGCACAAGATGCATTCTTTAATTTAAAGGTGCATATTGGATGTAAGGGGATGGTGTATTTGTGAGCTCAAATATTGGTAAGCCTGGCATTTTAAAGGTGTTGAGAGCTTACGGGGAGGGGAGTGGCAAGTTTTATTCCCAACTTGTTTGCCTCCTGTTTGAGTTCTGCTGTTTGAATCTTGCTCCCCTCTTTCCAGAATAACATTTCTCACATCAAAGAACAGAGCAGGATCATACAGCTACTCACAGAGTTTCAAACTAAGAGAATACACTTCATAGCAAGCAACCTGGAGTTTCTTCTTCCATTACCGCTTCATGTCATGGAGTCAAAAGAACAACTTTTCACAAACATTTCAGGCCTGGAATCTTTGGACTTAAAGGCTGAAACTGTGGATGAGAGTCCAATAAAAGTATCTGTGCAGATGAAGCGCAAGAAACAGCTATTCCTTCTGAACGATAGTGATTTGTTTGACTCAGATTCTATAGACGAAGTCCTCAGTTTGCCATCAGATAATTTACCGCCTAAGGAAAATGACCTGCCCACCTGTGGAACTCCAGTGAGTCTTGAACAGAGGAAGCTCACAGAGACTGAAAAGAAACAGTCGGGCTTGGTGCATCAGTGCCTGGGGTCTGTTGCAGAATTTGTGGATAACATGTCATTTTTAGATTGTTTTACTTATCATGCGACAGAGCGAGCAGAGTTTCGCCATTCGCACTGGACGGAAAGCAGAATTAAAAATGGGCTTTGTGATGAGCTGCGGACAGAAAGCAGTGACTGGTGGAGCGGTCACAGCTCTGTGGAGCTTAAAGCCACATTGGAAGCGCTTTCTTTCCACAAATGTTCCTCTGGCATTTCAAAAGTCATTGATTTTTGCAAAGAATCTGGAGAAGACCTAAGCAAAGATTTAACAGTACAGGTATCCAAAGAGCGTGAGACTGTATCTTTCGGTCAGCCCTCAATTTATTCTGAGTAAGTCACCACTACTTGCCTCTTTTTGGACAACTTCACCATGTGTTATAAAGTTACTTGAAATTTAAAAAATGTGAATATAATTTTTATTGTGCTGGTAATTTTACATGATTTTAAATTTCTTATACGGAGCTAGTAGGGTGCTTTAGAAATATTCACGATTTATAGGACAGCATTGAAAATATTGGATTAAAAGTAGTTATAGCAAAGTTGCTTACATGGCAGCTTCTATCAGATGGTGAGATGGCTCATTGTTAATGTCATGTAAAAGTACTTCTACTACAGTATTTCATTATAACTTTTGACACACTTAATATGTATGGAAAAACATTACTGTTTAATGCAGTTTTATATGGTTGGTTTACAAAGTACCGACATGTTGTACAATTAGTTTGGTGAAGAGACCATAGATCTTTAAATATATGATCAGCAGAAAAAGCACATTCAAACCATTTCATTTTTCCCCCTCTGTGTGCGTTTAGTGTTGCTGAAAGGCGCCTCTCTGTGGTGAGAAGTGTACTATCCAGTAAATCCTTCCTAACGCTGGGTAACAGACGAGCAAATGTTACTGAATATTTGCCTGCCCTTCGTAATATATGCAGATTCCAAAGATTGAAGGAACAAGAGAAGACAAAACGAAGGTACAACACCAATATGTCATTTCAGGAAATAATTCTGAGTCTGACTGCATTCATGTTGGTATTTTAATCTCATTAGAACTGGTAATCTATTCAGGGTTCAAAAACACTGAAACTTGGATTGCTGCATTAGTGATAGTTGGCCTGTTTTCTGTATAGCTAGGCAACTGCATACTGACAGCGATCATTAACAAGTACCAACATAACTATAACCCTGAACTATAACCTTTCCCTCCCATTTAGTAGATGGCTAAAAAAAAAAAAATCTCTTTATTTAGTAATAAAACAGTGTCAGTTTCTAGGGAGGGGAGCAAAAATTTGTTTTGTTCAATTTGACAGTCAAATTCCTTTTGATCCACACCTGATACTCTATTCATCCCGGGATATTCTTATTGCCAAACAGATTGATTAGTTCAGACGTGGATTAAAAGGAATTTGATTCAGGCAAACCTGTTGAAACAAATTTTTGCACCGCGCTGTGTTCGGAGACTTGAAATCTTTATTCCAGGCTTCACTGACAAGAACTGTGCAGATAATATTCTAACCTGTGCCTGGTGGTGCAATTTGTTTTATCTAGTTTTTCCATCATCTCTTCACAGGTTTCTTCATTATTTCGAAGGAATTCACCTCGAGTTACCAAAACACACAATGAGTAGTTTAGCTGCTGACTTTCCATGAAGTGGATACACATGCCAGACTGTTCCCTGCGTGAATTTATAATTGGACACAGACTTCAACAACTACAGACATTCTTTTCTGGCATAATGTTAAGACACAGATGTGCAAAAGATTTCAAACCATGACCTGTGCTAGCAAAAAAAGCCTCCCCAAGCACATGCTATATTCAGTTCTAGCAAGGGATTGAATGTTTTACACAGATATTTGTGCGTGTTTCAGATAAATTCTAGCTATGCCATGCTTCTATTTAAGTTTGACTTAAGATTTGTACAGTTCTCCAGGCTCTGAATGATATACCACCTTTGTGTTGATAATGTCATGAAGTAGTATATTGTCAGTAAAATTACAAAAATAAACCTTTGAAATAGGACAGTCCATGTAGATGTATATTTCCTCTATTTTGATAACACTCATCCTAAAAACTCTTTGCTGCCGGCACATTTAGTGAAGTGCTGAGCTTTAGAAACGTGGCCAGTCCCACGCAGTGTCTACCTTTAATTTGATTCTGTCCTTTCCCTTTAAATTTCAACCATTTAATGGTAAGAATAGAAAAGGCATAATTAGCAAGGATCAAGGCATTTTACAATAAATCTCATCCGTAGCAAAGAGGAATATATCATATTAATCTGTCACCCTTGAATATTTCATAAAAAACAAATGTTTGAGCTACTCATTGTTTGAATTGTAGTACGTTAATGTGGCTCTTGGCTGGTAAAGCACAAGGCTTTGAAGATGCTTGTTGTCACAATGGGGCTCCTTAAAATATAAGACTCCTACGGGTGACAGCTGCTTAATTCCACTAGTAAAATGGACAATGAAGAGTCTATATAGTCGGAGACCTCCTCTGAATGTAATAGATGCTCCTTGTAAAACATACTTACTGAGGCAAACTACAGTGGGTGCAATTTTAATTCAATGTTTGATATTGATTTGAAGTCTTCTCACTGCCTCGGAGAACTGTCCCAGAAACTTTCCTGTGTCATAAAAAGTTTCTCTGTCCCATGTGGAGCATCCTGGTTACAGGACGTTTCTCCATTATTTTGACACTGGAAACAGCATGGCCCCTTTCATACACCTGATTTCTACTCTCATTTGTGTTACATTTTTAAGTATGTTTTGTGATTATAATATATTGTGGAATGCACTAGCCACTGTATAGATTTGTAAAACGATATTCTTTTTGTACAGATTTGTAAACTTTTTTGTATGAAAATGTTTTAATTTTTAACTTGTCTCTTGTATGGAAGCTGGATTTGTATGTAATTGTGTTAATTATCCCTTCTGTAATATTAAAGGAGGTTTTAAATAGTCATGAGCTATTTGCTGCTAGTGACACCAATTTTTTTTTTTTTTTTGGTACACAAATATAACTAATGCTGTGATTTCATATTACTCTACACGGTCAATGTGCCGGAAGGAGGTGATTACTCCATTTATGCCAGGTGTATATGGCTGCTTGTCTGAAGCTTTGGTGACTGACTGGGATCAAGGCATTAAACCAGGAATAATGGGAAACTTAGCAAAGAGGAAACTGCACGTTTTGATACTGGACTCAAATCCATATTTCTTTTCCAGTGGCTTCATTCTACAATTCCTAGATTTGCAAATTAGACCCCACTATTGCCACATCTGAACAGTGTTCTTAAATTTGAATGGGAAAGTTTGAGGATAAAGTAGCCTAGCTGTAACTTGAGCAAAGTTAGATGTCATCTTCTCCCCACTTCATTTTTCTATTCACATTTTAATAATTTGGAGTCTAGTGAATAGTCTTGCCAGTGTCAAGATGTGATTGTGTGCGGCAATGAAACAGGAGAAGGCGCTAAAGACTTTCACAGCAGATCACATAACATGACTTTATTTAATTTTTATGTGAACAAATACTCAGTCTTGATGGGAACTGAGAATGTAGACATTGTACAGATGTGTAGTTCAAATTGTCATGGCTGTAAATGTTCATATTCAGTTCCATACCCTTTCATTTAAAAAGTAAAGTAGTTCAAGCAGAAAAGGGGGCCACCATTCTAGATTGTGGATTTATCACCTTGGTTATACCATCTTTTCCTTTATTAGAAGCCACAGAGGAAAGATTTGTGTAAAAAAATGTTAAGTCACAATTAGGTCATAGAAGGTAATGGCTTGTAATAATGCATCACACAGCTCCTCGTTCCTCTTCTGTCTTCTCATTTGAAACTGACCTCTGTAGTGGAGGATAATGTCTGGTAAAAATTTCACCCAGGATTTTCCCGGAACAGCCGGTTCCAAAAGTAACTGCTTTACGATATCGACTCCACTTGTCCGGGACTCCCCAACCATGAGGGCAAAATGTTTACCTACAATTGAACGGCCCATACTAACCACACAGTGATTATCGTCTGCCCCGTACCGTGTGTTCAGTAAGCTGTACAGCATGGCTTCTACCATATGCAGGTGTAAAGTCACTGGAAATAGATTGCTGTTCTGAATAGGAATGCCAGATTTTTCCAAGACATAAAAATCTGCTTTTGGGATCCTTGCGACAATTGGTGAAATCTGCAAGAAAAGAAAACAATTCGAATGGATGCGGCTAAAGGATAGCTCAAACGTGTTGGTGTATATATCATGCCCCTGCAGTCTCACTGCTCAATTCCGTCATGTAGGAGTTAAATTGCTTTATTTTTGCAGCCATAGTTGGTTAGAGTTCCTTTAACTCCTTTGTGCTGTTAAGGCATGCAATGCGCAGACCCTTTAAAGGGACACTATAGTCACCCAGACCACTTCAGCTCAATGAAGTGGTCTGGGTGTCAGGTCCCTCAGGTTTTAACCCTTCAGATGCAAACATAGCAGTTTCAGAGAAACTAGGTTTACATTTGGGGTTAATCCAGCCTCTAGTGGCGTCTTCCGGACAGCCACTAGAGGCGCATCTGCGACGCTGGACGCATATTTCGCCTCCATCGCGCAGACGTCCATAGGAAAGCATTGAGAAATGCTTTACTATAGACACTTTGAATGCACATTTGGCTCCGCTGACATTGGCGGGGGAGGAGATGTCACCTGCGCTGGATTAAGGTTAGCTGCTAAAGGGATTTTAACCTCCTTCAGCGCCACGGGAGGGGGACCTTGAGGGTGCCCACTATAGTGTCAGGAAAACCGCTTTGTTTTCCTGACACTTTAGTAATCCTTTAACTTGTGGGGGCAGTGTTGTACACGTTAAACATTGCTGAACACCAATGAGTATTTTAGAGCAGTAAAACAAGATGACCTCATTGGTAAAAGGCAGTTGTTTTTTCCCCCAAAACTATTTTTATTGTGAATGCATGGTACAAGAATATAATACGAGTGACATCATTTATGCTTTTAAGCAGTTATTCGGTCAGTTACATTCACTATTTTGTGGGTTTCTCAACATAAACAAAAAGTTATAAAACCAAATAGGTCATTGTTAACCCCTTCAGCACGCAGTCAATAGTACACGTTCTGATCAAATCAAAACGTAAACAAAAACTGGAATTTGCGCTATATGTCTGTTCAACCATAATTCACCGCTGTCACGTTAAGTGCACCCACACTTATTATATATCATTTTGTTCAGGAGAAACAGGGCTTTAATTTATCATTAAATATTCATATATGGAACATAATTTATTATGAATAAAATTTTAAAAAATGTGAATTTTTTTTTTTTTTTAAATTTGTATTTCCATCTGACATTTTAGCTGTGAATATCATAATACTGTTAGGTTTTACTGCAAAAAAAAATGCACATATTTGTAAGCGGCAAAGTCTCACGAGCACAACATTAACAAGTTTTTTTACAAAGTTACAGGGTCAAATATAGCACATTACATTTTCAGATTGAAATTTGCCAGATTAGTAATGTTACCTTTGAGACGGTGTGGTAGCCCAGGAATGAGAATTACCCCCATAAGGGGATACCATTTGAAAAAGTAGACAACCCAAGGTATTGAAAGTGGGGTATGTTTAGTCCTTTTTAGTAGCCACTTACAGTATATACTCGAGTATAAGTCTAGTTTTTCAGCACATTTTTTGTGCTTAAAAACCCCCACTCGACTTATACTCAGGTCACTGTCTGTATTATGGCAACTTAGAGAGCCGCGGCCATCAGAGCCATGGCAACGATCCGCACGGCAACCAGACCGCGAGACTTACAGTGGAGCTGACCGGAACGGAGAAGAAGGGAGCTGACAGGAGCTGCAGGAAAGGTAAGTAAATGCTTCCTGCCAGCCCCCCCACTTCACATCCCATGTGTCAGGGTACCTGTTGGTGACGTATCCAGGGAGGACACCCTCTCTGCTTAGGGGCTCCCTTCCCCTAGCATTTCGGCATATTTCGGCCGTTTTCGCGCCGGCCGCGCTAGCTCCTCCCCCTTTTATGACGCGACGGCTAGCGTCGACGTCATGACGTCGGCATTTGCATAAAGTGCCGGGAACCGCTATTCCGGACCTTTTGGGGGCGTGGTCTCTATTTAGGTAACAGGGTATTTAAAGGAAGCCTTTACTACTGCTCATTGCCCTGTCGTGGTTCTAGCTTGCTAGTCACTCAGCGCGTTCTTTATCTTGTGTTTCCGGTTTTGACCCTTGCTTGTCTTTTGTCCTGTTGTCCTCTCCTCTCCTTTGACTCGGCTTGTATCTCGCTTACCTGTCCTCCGGCTCCCTTGACCTCGGCTTACCTTTTGACTATTCTTGCTTTGTCCTTACGTTAGTCCGGCCATTCTAAGGTCCGGTATACGTACCTCCTTCTGTGCGCACTCTGCGTATTGGATCCCTGTCAGTTTCCTGACATTACGACAGGGCCATGATGGATCCTGCAGGTGCTAGTCCTCCTGACCCCAGATTTGAGGCCATGGACCATAGAATGGACCAAATGGCTTTAGCGCTACAAACTTTGTTGACACGCTCCAGTACCCAGTCTGAAGAAATACGTTCCACTGCTAGCCACTCGCTAAGTACTGGTTTGGAAGTAGCCACTGTAGGCGCATCTTCCCATGTCACGTCACCATTACGATATGGGGGTTCGCCTGATGCTTGTCGTGGTTTTTTAAACCAGATAAGTATACATTTCGAACTACAACCCCGGGCTTACCCCACTGACAGGGCTAAGGTAGGCTTTATTATAACCCTGCTAATAGATAAAGCACTTAGATGGGCCAATCCCCTTTGGGAGAATGACAATCCTTTAGTCTACAACTACACTGCGTTTGTCACGGCTTTTAGAAGAACCTTTGACCCCCCAGGGAGGAAGATTAATGCGGCCAGATCCCTGTTACGCCTTAAACAACAAGATAGGACCCTTGTAGAATATGCTCTAGAGTTTAGATCATTGGCAGCAGAAGTGAAATGGAACGAACAAGCTTTTATGGATGTTTTCTTGAATGGGCTGTCTGATGAAATTCTAGATGAAATTGCCACTAGAGAACTTCCGGAAAATTTAGAGGATTTAGTATCCTTCATTTCCAGAATAGATGAACGCATGAGACAGAGGCAGAACACTCGGGAAAGAGTTACTAGACTTCCTGTAAGACTCGCTCCCTCATTTCAGAACCCTGACTCCTATAATCCTACTCCACCAGAACCTATGCAAATAGGTAATACTCGCTTATCTGAGGCTGAGAGACAGTACAGAAGAAGGGAGGGTCTCTGTTTATACTGCGGGCTGAGAGGTCACCTACGTCTCAGTTGCCCTAATCGTCCGGGAAACGCTCGCACCTAAGTTCCCTTAGAGGACGGGCCTTGGGTGTTTCATTACTGTCCTCTATGCATAATAAAAAAGACCATAGGCTTCTGATTCCTGTCTCTCTAGCTTGGGAAAAGGGGTTTATTACTACGATGGCATTATTAGATTCTGGAGCAGCAGAAAGTTTTATAGACCAAACTTTCGCTAATAAGCATTGTATCCCATTCCAATTGAGAGATACACCCTTGGCCGTTGAGGCCATAGATGGTAGACCTTTATCTGAACCAGTAATATTCCATGAGACCGAACCCGTTAAGCTTACTGTTGGTATTTTCCACGAAGAGTTGATTTCCCTTCTGTTAATTTCCCCCCCGGCAGTCCCAGTGGTTCTAGGATATTCTTGGCTCAAGAGACACAACCCTCAGATTGACTGGGAGGGTGGAGAAATCGTTTCTTGGGGTATGGGTTGTAGGAAGGAATGTCTGCAGAGAGTTACTTCTGTTTGCCCCGTGAACTCTTATGCTAACACTTCTCAATCCACAGACGTTCAGATACCATTACAATATCTAGACTTCAAATCTGTATTTGACAAGGGTAAGGCGGATACTTTACCTCCCCACCGGTCTTATGACTGTTCTATTAAACTTTTCCCTGGTACTATGCCTCCCAGGGGTACGGTATACCCTCTATCCACCAAGGAAAACTTAGTTTTAGAGGAATATATCAAGGAGAATTT